CTTCTCGGTCGTTTCTTGTGATCTCCTCTCCTTCCTTCTTCAGTCTGAATACCTGGTCCTTGACTGTTGTTTTCCGCCTGGTGGCTGTACATGAGCTTGGTTCATATGTGGCTCTCGATGATATATCATTCTCGTATTGCTGCTGGGCCTCCCTCCTTATTCGTTTCTCCCTGCATATTCGTTTCTGGCTCTTCGATTAATCTCCTTATTTTCCTGAGTCCTTTATCTTCTATACTTTTTTCCATTCTCTAGCGCACTTAATATTGGCCTTTATCTACACCTTTGGGCGAACCAAGAGTTTGTTCTGGTCTTCCAATTGTTTCTGTTGCCCCTGGGTACGCACCTATCCTTTGCTTCCCTACATTTTGTGGTCACGTATTCCATCATTTCATTTACTGATTTTCCCACCAGTTCTCTTTCCCAGTGAACCTCACACAAGAAATTTTTCATGTCTGTGTAGTCCCCTCTTTTGTAGTTTGGCTTCTTCCGTCCTACTCTTCTTGCTTCCCTCTCCACTTGTAACTACTATGTATTCAAAGCTTAGGACCACGTGATCACTAGCTCCTAGGGGCCTTTCACATGTGATGATCTCAATGTCTGAACGTACTCAAGGTGAATATGAGGTCCAGTCATACTGGTTCATCTTCTCGTATCTCTCTGGTAGTGTCCCTAATGTGTGTGTGTCACTGTGTGTGTGTGTGTGTGTGGTAAGTCTTGAGATACACAGTGCTATGATACATAGCATGGAAGATCACTGATAAAAGTTACACTGAGTATTGTGATGCACTTCCCTCCAGGGCTTGCAAGATCACTGATACAAGCTTAAGATCTTCCTTGCCCATGGAAATATAAACACATATGCAGTATAATGTGATCCTTTATTGACTACGTTTCGCCCACACAGTGGGCTTTTTCAAGTCACAAACAGATCTGTTTGTGACTTGAAAAAGCCCACTGTGTGGGCGAAACGTAGTCAATAAAGGATCACATTATACTGCATATGTGTTTATATTTCCATTGTGTCGGTATTTTATACCATTTATTTCCATCTTCCTTGCCCATGTTCACCGACCTGCGGTTTTTGTCAAGCGACATCCCAAATAAGAGCTTAGTGGATCTGCTCTCTTCACTCCCAAACACTGTCCCAATAAAGCTCTCCTCAGTGCCAAACATTGTCTCAATAAAGTTCTCTCAGTGCCAAACATTGTCCCAACAAAGCTCTCCTCAGTGCCAAACATTGTCCCAATAAAACTCTCCTCAGTCCCAAACATTGTACCACTAAAGCTCTCCTCAGTCCCAAACATTGTACCACTGAAGCTCTCCTCAGTCCCAAACATTGTACCACTGAAGCTCTCCTCAGTCCCAAACATTGTACCACTGAAGCTCTCCTCAGTCCCAAACATTGTACCACTAAAGCTCTCCTCAGTCCCAAACATTGTACCACTAAAGCTCTCCTCAGTCCCAAACATTGTACCACTGAAGCTCTCCTCAGTCCCAAACATTGTACCACTAAAGCTCTCCTCAGTCCCAAACATTGTACCACTGAAGCTCTCCTCAGTCCCAAACATTGTACCACTGAAGCTCTCCTCAGTCCCAAACATTGTACCACTGAAGCTCTCCTCAGTCCCAAACATTGTACCACTAAAGCTCTCCTCAGTCCCAACATTGTACCACTGAAGCTCTCCTCAGTCCCAAACATTGTACCACTGAAGCTCTCCTCAGTCCAAACATTGTACCACTAAAGCTCTCCTCAGTCCCAAACATTGTACCACTGAAGCTCTCCTCAGTCCCAAACATTGTACCACTAAAGCTCTTTTCAGTCCCAAACATTGTACCACTGAAGCTCTTCTCAGTCCCAAACATTGTACCACTGAAGCTCTCCTCAGTCCCAAACATTGTACCACTGAAGCTCTCCTCAGTCCCAAACATTGTACCACTAAAGCTCTCCTCAGTCCCAAACATTGTACCACTGAAGCTCTCCTCAGTCCCAAACATTGTACCACTGAAGCTCTTCTCAGTCCCAAACATTGTACCACTGAAGCTCTCCTCAGTCCCAAACATTGTACCACTAAAGCTCTCCTCAGTCCCAAACATTGTACCACTGAAGCTTTCTCAGTCCCAAACATTGTACCACTGAAGCTCTCCTCAGTCCCAATACATTGTACCACTAAAGCTCTCCTCAGTCCCAAACATTGTACCACTGAAGCTCCCTCAGTCCCAAACATTGTACCACTGAAGCTCTCCTCAGTCCCAAACATTGTACACTGAAGCTCTCCTCAGTCCCAAACATTGTACCACTAAAGCTCTCCTCAGTCCCAACATTGTACCACTGAAGCTTCTATCTCAAACTTGTACCACTGAAGCTCTCCTCAGTCCCAAACATTGTACCACTGAAGCTCTCTCAGTCCCAAACATTGTACCACTGAAGCTCTTCTCAGTCCCAAACATGTACCACTGAAGCTCTCTCAGTCCAAACATTGTACCACTGAAGCTCTTCTCAGTCCCAAACATTGACCACTGAAGCTCTTCTCAGTCCCAAACATTGTACCACTGAAGCTCTCCTCAGTCCAAACATTGTACCACTGAAGCTCTTCTCAGTCCCAAACATTGTACCACTGAAGCTCTCCTCAGTCCCAAAATTGTACCACTGAAGCTCTTCTCAGTCCCAAACATTGTACCACTGAAGCTCTCCTAGTCCCAAACATTGTATACACTGAAGCTCTTCTCAGTCCCAAACTTGTACCACTAAAGCTCTCCTCAGTCCCAAACATTGTACCACTGAAGCTCTCCTCAGTCCCAAACATTGTACCACTGAAGCACTCCTCAGTCCCAAACATTGTGACCACTAAAGCTTGCCTCAGTACCCAAACATTGTACCACTGAAGCTCTTCTCAGTCCCAACTTGTACCACTGAAGCTCTTCTCAGTCCAAACATTGTACCACTGAGCTCTCCTCGTCCCAAACATTGTACCACTGAAGCTCTTCTCAGTCCCAAACATTGTACCACTGAAGCTCTCCTCAGTCCCAAACATTGTACCACTGAAGCTCTTCTCAGTCCCAAACATTGTACCACTGAAGCTCTCCTCAGTCCCAAACATTGTACCACTGAAGCTCTTCTCAGTCCCAAACATTGTACCACTAAAGCTCTCCTCAGTCCCAAACATTGTACCACTGAAGCTCTCCTCAGTCCCAAACATTGTACCACTGAAGCTCTCCTCAGTCCCAAACATTGTACCACTAAAGCTCTCCTCAGTCCCAAACATTGTACCACTGAAGCTCTCCTCAGTCCCAAACATTGTACCACTGAAGCTCTCCTCAGTCCCAAACACTGTCCCAGTAAAAGCTTTTCATCTGTCTCTGTCTTAATTGCAATGTGTCCAGCAACTAGTGCAAGGCGTTTGTAAGTGCACTTAAACTGGTTTCAAGTGTTAAAGTACACTTAAACTGGTGTCAAGTGTTCATAAATGCACTTAAACTGGAGCCAAACGTTCGTAAGTGCACTTAAACTGGTATCAGGTGTTCGTTAGTGCACTTACACTGGTGCCAGGCATTTGTAAGTGCACTTAAACTGGTATCAGGCCTTCGTAAGTGTACTTAAATTTAAAATACACGATTCTGTAGTTGAGCTCCAGACAGGATTGCGAACCACAGCTAAGACACTGGATTAGCTTTGTATAAGACGCTGGATTAAAGTTAGCTTCCAGATATTGCTAAATAAACTAAAGCTATTTTTTTTCGTGTGTCTGGATATAGGTTTATATTCCAGGAAGCTGAGGTAAGACTTTTAACTTCCAGGAGGCTAGTGTAAGACTTAGCTTCCAGGAGGCTGGTGTAAGACTAGCTTCCAGGAGGCTGGTGTAAAACTAGCTTCCAGGAGACCTGTGTAAGACTAACTTCCAGGAAACCGGTGTAAGACTAGCTTCCAGGAGGCTGGTGTAAGACTAGCTTCCAGGAGGCCAGTGTAAGACTCTCTTGAAGGAGGCTGGAATAAGACTAGCTTCCAGGAGGCTGGTGTAAGACTAACATCCAGGAGGCTGGTGTAAGACTTCATCTTCCAGGAAACTGACATAAGACTTTAGTTTCCAGGAGGGTGGTGTAAGACTCACAGCTTCCAGGAGGCTGGGAAGGGCAGTTCAGCAGTGCTGAGTCAACTCTTGAGTTCCAGGATGTAGAGCTAAGACTTGCAAGAACGTGATCTTAATTACAATTCGCTTTCTATATGCGCCTTGAGGATATTCAAAGAAAAAAATAAATATTCAAATCTGGAATCAATATTTACATTTAGTTTGTCTCCAAAAGTCAGGGTTATCACTAAGGGTTATCACTAGTTCTAGCTACGACAACTCCTTCATGCAGACTTTACTGTTAGTTATTGGTACAACCACAACTTACGATATCTAACGTGAGGCACATCATCCCTACGACCACAACTGGACGCAGACATGTTTACCGTAGCTATTTCTACCACACCTGCATGCAGACTTGTTTATTAGTTATTGCTATGAGAAAACCTACACGCAGACTTGGAATACTGGCAAAACAGAAATGGGTAAAGAAGCAAACTGGTTAAAATAACTCTTGAGAAGTTAGTGAAGAGGTTTTTAAAGTAGGTGAGGTTATCATCATGATTTGTTAAGTGTTACAAAGCAACACAAACTAATGTAGGGAGGCAAAACGCCGACAAGTAGAGTAATACAAAGACACAGCAGAGCTGACCTTCGTATGACCACGTTTCTCTCAAAGCTCATTTTTGAATGAAACGTGTAACAAAAGCTTGCTGTGATACACCTTTATACTACCCTACACACTTATGTAACAAATAAATTAGGAAACAATATACAAAACATCAAAGGAAATCATTACTAAATTTACAGAGGACCTTCGTGAAACATTTTTTAAATAAAATTTATTCAGTAGTTGGGGCTTCTTTGAATCCCTTCTAAAATTAATTTTACATAACACATGTTATGTGCTCTTGTAACTAAGGATGTTGTACTGACCTTCTGAGGGTGGGATGAGGATAATGTCAGAAGGCGTCTCGTAGGGTCCATCCTTGGCCACCATCCTGATTTCGTAGGCTCGACGGGGGTCCATGCCAGAGATGGTCTGGTCGAGGCTGTCTCTCTCCACGGGAGAGGCCTTCCAGTGCTCTGTGCCTTGAACCCTGCCACCACCAAACCTTTCGTTACACCTAACTTATAATACCTCATCTGTTTTTCATAACACTAAGTTCTTATATTACTTCTCATATACTTATAATACCGCCTCTCTCTCATAATGTTAACTTCTCATATACTTATAATACTAACTTATTATATACTTATTATTACTTATCTCTCTCATAATATTAACTTCACATATACTTAAATAATTCTGTCAATAAATACCTCCTTTCATTTAATGTTTAAATAATTATCAAACTATGTTATGTACTGTGTTATGTACTGTGTTATGTACTGTGTTATGATGGTGTACAGAGAAACATGTCACTATGGCTCAAAGTGTGTACCACACACATATGTAAATGGTGTACCACAAGGTTGTTTCATGTTTTGTATTTCGTCAGGTTTAAAAATACTTCTCTCTCTAAAAATCATCACAACCATCACCATCTCGACCACCATCACTAGCACCATTACTACATAATAAACCACCACAACAGCTTTCACCATGACTTAAGAAATCGTAATGACACGATTGCAAATAAACCATACCCCCGGCCGGGATTGAACCCGCGGTCATAGAGTCTCAAAACTCCAGCCCGTCGCGTTAGCCACTAGACCAGCTAGCCACAATAAGATTCATCCAACTAGGTATATTTCTACACCATAGGAAAGTTAGCACAGGCATCTCTGTGACCACAAATGCAAGTTTTTACAGACGAATCTCCAGCTAGCGTGGGCGTGACGAACTCTAGCTTCAAGTCCCTTCACTGCCGTCACATGACTTAAGAAATCGTAATGACACGATTTGCAATCGTGTCATTACGATTTCTTAAGTCATGTTGACGGCAGTGAAGGGACTTGAGCTAGAGTTCGTCACGGCCACGCTAGCTGGAGATTCGTCTGTAAAAACTTGCATTTGTGGTCACAGAGGTGCCTGTGCTAACTTTCCTATGGTGTAGAAATATACCTAGTTGGATGAATCTTATTGTGGCTAGCTGGTCTAGTGGCTAGCGCGACGGGCTGGAGTTTTGAGACTCTATGACCGCGGGTTCAATCCCGGCCGGGGGTATGGTTTAGCTTTCACCATCACTACCAACACGAACATCAATACCCCCATCAGGACTCACACCATCACCACTAACACCTGTAGGACCATTACCATCATCACGAGAACCATCACTACTAATGACAACAATACTATCACCAGCAACACCACAATTATGACGATAATACCACAACAACAACCAACATAATTATTACCACATATACCTGTGATATACCTGTGACTTATTTCGAGGAGTCTGCCCCCGCAGCCTGGTATAAGCCAGACTTCCTTACAAACTTCCGTCGTTCTCACAGCACTAGAGGGACCCACTATGTATTTGATAATTTCTAGAGCTTATCATAGAGCATGAAATAAATTATGGTACCTCTAGCCAACAGTAGAAGTCTTTGTTTTTCTGAGGGAGCCAGAGATACATACGTCCTTCCTCAGGGAGTGTAGAAGCGAGGTGTGAAGCAGTGTAGTGCTACACTTGAGAGCGGGTGTTTCACTGTTCCTTGTAAGTAGGAATAATGACTGCACTTAATATAAAAAAAGGAAATCTTTAAAAAATTACGAAAGTTACGGCAACAGTCATGGAAGTAAAAATAGCCAGTCTATAACATACTAGAAACACATGCAAATCCCTGCATTATTTCGACGATAGAACGTTACGAGATTATAACAACAGAACTTCAGGGGACAGCTCATCCTCTACAGGTTCAGATCGAGAACTTAAAAGCAATTCCTCTAGAGCAGGGATGCCAACCTATGGCGCACGCGCCAAAAGTGGTACATTGTTTGATTAGAAATGGTGCATATTGCACCCCAGGGAAAATAATAAAACAAGAAGCCAACTCATACAAAAAGTATTAACCAATAACCGATTTGTAGAACAAAATTTTAAGAGAAATTCGAGAAGTGAGTTTTTCTGAGAATATAAATCTAAGACTTAGGCATTACTTTTCAGTAATTTTATTATTTAATGCAATGTCATTTTCTTTCATATTAATCTGTTTTCAGTTAAAAATATTCAGTAAGACTAGGAACAAACTGCAGTGAACACCCACACTGTATTACTGAGTTGCTACATATTCACTACACACAGTATTCTGCTCTTATCAGGGACATCGCACAAAGAGGAACTTTTGTACAGGAGTCGTACCATAAGTGTACATGTTTGATACTTGTTTGATGTTGAGGCGCCAGACACCAGAAGTATCTGTGGTACATCACATGTTTTTACGAGTCAGTTGACAACTGACACTCATCTGGTAGTGTTGTGCTTCACTACTTGTGAAGAATTAAAGTTTTGTACTTTTCCAAAGTTAAGCTTTGTTTTTATAGTGTTACCCATCAGAGTGCAAAAGAAAACCAGAAAGTGATAGTGAGAGTCAATTTAATAAACAGTGGGAAAATTATCTCTTATTTATTGTGGGTCCGTCAGGAAAACTGTTGTGCAGTGTTTGTGGAAACACTCGGATAATTAATATGCTCTTAAAAGGCATTATAAAAAACATCAGGCTGAAATAGAAGAAAATCTGAAGTTATTGCTTGAGTCTGAGTTACGGAAAAACGATGTGATTACGAAAAAAGATTAAATGAAATACAAAATATATTTGTTAAAAGAAGTTGTGAAAGTTTGAAAATAATGGAATCGTCGTACGAGATTATCTTTGTGTTGACTTAAAAACGGAAGACTTTCTGATGGAGGAGAAATTGTTAAACTTTTTCTCCAGATATTTACAGGATATCTTGGTGATAGAAATAATGAAAGAAAAGTAGACGAAATCGGTGTGTCAAAGTCAACTGTTACAAGACTCACTGAAGAACTTTGTCATGATGTATCTGAGCTGCTGAAACACCTTGACCATGACTGATTTCTTATCTTTAACTTTGAACGAATCTGCTGACATATGTGATGTAGCCCAGTTAACCATTTTCATTAGAGGAATTAATAATTTTAAAGAGCTTATCGGTCTTGAGTCACTTGAAAAAAAAGATCGGACATATTTGACAAAGTCATACTTAGACAATCTGCAACTAGATTCTCGTAAAGTGATCAGTGTTTGTACTGACGGAACACCGTCAATGACAGGTACAGCAGCTGGACTGTAACTTTGTACTGACGGAACACCGTCAATGACAGGTACAGCAGCTGGACTGTAACTTTGTACTGACGGAACACCGATAATGACAGGTACAGCAGCTGGACTGTAACTTTGTACTGACGGAACACCGTCAATGACAGGTACAGCAGCTGGACTGTAACTTTGTACTGACGGAACACCGTCAATGACAGGTACAGCAGCTGGACTGTAACTTTGTACTGACGGAACACCGTCAATGACAGGTACAGCAGCTGGACTGTAACTTTGTACTGACGGAACACCGTCAATGACAGGTACAGCAGCTGGACTGTAACTTTGTACTGACGGAACACCGATAATGACAGGTACAGCAGCTGGACTGTAACTTTGTACTGACGGAACACCGTCAATGACAGGTACAGCAGCTGGACTGTAACTTTGCTGGAAATCTCTTTAGATCGTCCTGTACTAAAATATCACTGCATTATACACCAAGAGTCACTGTGTGGAAAAACTTTACCTCATGTTATGCTACCAGTTGTAAAATGTCTGAATAAAATTATATCAAGAGGATTAAACACAAGAGAATTCAGAGAATATTGTAAATTATTAGATTTGAAATATTGTGATCTGGTCCTTGACTGTGAGATGCGGAGGTGACTTTCTAGACGACAGGTTCTCCCTAGATTTTGGAAACTGAAAAATACTGTTCATAATATTCTAGAAGAGAAGAATGTGTTGCCTGAAGAAAGAGCCTTTTTATATGATGATAAATGGCTATTTGATTTAGTATTTTTTAGTTGATGTTACCAGTTGTCTCAGTGAACTAAATTTGACACTGCAGGAGAGGAACGAATTGTTTTCTGACTTTGTAAATAATATCAGAGCAATCAAGATAAAGTTAAAACTGTTTATCAATAAGTTAGATAATGAAGATTTAAGTCACTTTCCACATTATAAGTTAAGGTGCTCAAGATAATGACGATTTTACTGAATATATATTGAAAAAATCAGATTATTGCAAGAGTTTTTTAAATTCGTTTTACTGATTTTACTAAAGAAGAAAACTACATACTAGCATTTATAAACTACTTACTAGCATTTATAAACTACATACTAGCATTTATAAACTACATACTAGCATTTATAAACTACATACTAGCATTTATAAACTACATACTAACATTTATAAACTACATACTAGCATTTATAAACTACATACTAGCATTTTATAAACTACATACTAGAAATTATAAACTACATACCAGCATTTATAAACTACATACTCGCTTTTAAAAAACTACATACTAGCATTTATAACTACATACTAGCTTTTATAAACTACAAAACTCGCTTTTATAACTACATACTAGCATTTATAAACTACATACTAGCATTTATAACTACATACTAGCATTTATAAACTACATACTAGCATTTATAAACTACATACCGCATTTATAAACTACATACTCGCATTTATAAACTACATACTAGCATTTATAAACTACATACTAGCATTATAAACTACATACTCGCATTTATAAACTACATACTCGCATTTATAAACTACATACTAGCATTTATAAACTACATACAGCATTTATAAACTACATACCGCATTTATAAACTACATACTCGCATTTATAAACTACATACTCGCATTTATAAAACTACATACTAGCATTTATAAACTACATACTCGCATTTATAAACTACATACTCGCATTTATAACTACATACTCGCATTTATAAACTACATACTAGCATTATAAACAACATACTAGCATTTATAAACTACATACTAGCATTTATAAACTACATACTCGCATTTATAAACTACATACTCGCATTTATAAACTACATACTAGCATTTATAAACTACAATACTCGCATTTTAAACTACATACTCGCATTTATAAACTACATACTAGCATTTATAAACTACATACTAGCATTTATAAAGTACATACTCGCATTTAATAAACTACATACTCGCATTTATAAACTACATACTCGCATTTATAAACTACATACTAGCATTTATAAACTACATACTCGCATTTATAAACTACATACTAGCATTTATAAACTACATACTCGCATTTATAAACTACATACTAGCATTTATAAACTACATACTAGCATTTATAAACTACATACTCGCATTTATAAACTACATACTCGCATTTATAAACTACATACTCGCATTTATAAACTACATACTAGCATTTATAAACTACATACTCGCATTTATAAACTACATACTCGCATTTATAAACTACATACTAGCATTTTATAAACTACATACTCGCATTTTATAAACTACATACTCGCATTTATAAACTACATACTAGCATTTATAAACTACATACTAGCATATATAAACTACATACTAGCATTTATAAACTACATACTCGCATTTATAAACTACATACTAGCATTTATAAACTACATACTAGCATTTATAAACTACATACTCGCATTTATAAACTACATACTAGCATTTATAAACTACATACTCGCATTTATAAACTACATACTAGCATTTATAAACTACATACTAGCATTTATAAACTACATACTCGCATTTATAAACTACATACTAGCATTTAAAACTACATACTCGCTTTTATAAACTACATACTAGCATTTATAAACTACATACTCGCATTTATAAACTACATACTCGCATTTATAAACTACATACTAGCATTTATAAACTACATACTCGCATTTATAAACTACATACTCGCATTTATAAGCTACATACTAGCATTTATAAACTACATACTAGCATTTATAAACTACATACTCGCATTTATAAACTACATACTAGCATTTATAAACTACACACTAGCATTTATAAACTACATACTAGCATTTATAAACTACATACTAGCATTTATAAACTACATACTAGCATTTATAAACTACATACTAGCATTTATAAACTACATACTCGCATTTATAAACTACATACTAGCATTTATAAACTACATACTAGCATTTATAAACTACATACTCGCATTTATAAACTACATACTCGCATTTATAAACTACATACTCGCATTTATAAACTACATACTCGCATTTTTAAAACTACATACTCGCATTTATAAACTACATACTAGCATTTATAAACTACATACTCGCATTTATAAACTACATACTCGCATTTATAAGCTACATACTAGCATTTATAAACTACATACTAGCATTTATAAACTACATACTCGCATTTATAAACTACATACTAGCATTTATAAACTACACACTAGCATTTAATAAACTACATACATCGCATTTATAAAACTACATACTAGCATTTATAAACTACATACTCGCATTTATAAACTACATACTAGCATTTATAAACTACACACTAGCATTTATAAACTACATACTCGCATTATAAAACTACATACTCGTATTTATAAACTACATACTAGCATTTATAAACAACATACTAGCATTTTATAAACTACATACTCGCATTTATAAACTACATAACTAAGCATTTAAAACTACATACTCGCATTTATAAACTACATACTCGTATTTATAAACTACATACTAGCATTTATAAACTACATACTAGCATTTATAAACTACATACTCGCATTTATAAACTACATACTCGTATTTATAAACTACATACTAGCATTTATAAACTACATACTAGCATTTATAAACTACATACTCGCATTTATAAACTACATACTCGCATTTATAAACTACATACTAGCATTTATAAACTACATACTAGCATTTATAAACTACATACTCGCATTTATAAACTACATACTAGCATTTATAAACTACACACTAGCATTTATAAACTACATACTCGCATTTATAAACTACATACTCGTATTTATAAACTACATACTAGCATTTATAAACTACATACTAGCATTTATAAACTACATACTCGCATTTATAAACTACAACTAGCATTTATAAACTACATACTCGCATTATAAACTACATACTAGCATTTATAAACTACATACTCGCATTATAAAAACTAAACAATACTCGCATTTATAAACTACATACTCGCATGTTTAAACTACACACTAGCACTTTATAAACTACACACTAGCATTTATAAACTACAACTAGCATTTATAAACTACAACTAGCATTATATAAACTACATACTAGCATTTATAAACTACAACTAGCATTTATAAACTACATACTAGCATTTATAAACTACAACTAGCATGTTATAAACTACCACACTCGCATTTATAAACTACAACTCGCATTTATAAACTACACACTAGCATTTATAAACTACACACTAGCATTTATAAACTACATACTACTTTATAAACTACATACTACACATTATAAACTACATACTCGCATTTATAAACTACAACTCGCATTTATAAACTACATCACTAGCATTATAAACTACATACTCGCATTTATAAACTACATACTCGCATTTATAAACTACATACTCGCATTTATAAACTACATACTCGCATTTATAAACTACATACTAGCATTTATAAACTACACACTAGCATTTATAAACTACACACTCGCATTTATAAACTACACACTCGCACTTATAAACTACACACTCGCACTTATAAACTACACACTAGCACTTATAAACTACACACTAGCACTTATATACGCACTTTCACTGAGTGAACAAAAACTTCTGAAGTTGCCCACTAATATATAAATGGAACTCACTGATTTGAAAACAAATTCATTATTGAAAATGTAATTTGACGACCTTCCTTCCAGTCCCAGCGCTTCTCACAATTAATTTTTGGTGATCATAATTCTCTGAACATTTTCCAGAACCAAGAAAATTTGCCCAGAGTTAAATCTGTCGTTTTGAAACAACATACAAATGCGACGAAACATTGTCATCCAGTAACTACTTTAACTAGTCAGTAACTAATTTAACTAATAACAACACAAACATAGTTAAATCAAACCTTACTCAAAAGTCTCATTAATGTCTTCATACTTTATAATTTTTATGTAAAAGTGTTAAATATGTCTATTTAACATATTTTTGAATGGGGTACAAGTGTGGAATGACGCATCTGAAGTCGAGTTTGAATATCTTGGCGCACTGAGTACCGAAGTTGATCACCACTGATCTAGAGCTTTAGATCGGGTACTTAAAACCATAATATCTAGCAAGCATGAACTTGACACTCACGCACCTGTGTGAGTGTTGGACGCACCTCTGTGAGTGTTGGACGCACCTCTGTGAGTGTTGGACGCACCTGTGTGAGTGTTGGACGCACCTCTGTGAGTGTGAGACGCACCTGTGTGTGGGTCGCACCTGTGTGTGGGACTTACCTGTGTGTGGGACGCACCTGTGTGTGGGACGCACCTGTGTGTGGGACGCACCTGTGTGAGTGTTGGACGCACCTCTGTGAGTGTGGGACGCACCTGTGTGAGTGTTGTACGCACCTCTGTGAGTGTTGGACGCACCTCTGTGAGTGTGGGACGCACCTCTGTGAGTGTGAGAAGCACCTGTGCGTGTTGGACGCACCTGTGCATGTGGGACTTACCTGTGTGTGAGACGCACCTGTGTGTGGGTCGCACCTGTGTGTGGGACTTACCTGTGTGTGGGACGCACCTGTGTGTGGGACGCACCTGTGTGTTGGACGCACCTATGTGTGGGATGCACGTGTGTGTGAGACGCACCTGTATGGGACGCACCTATATATGGGACGCATGTATGTGTCCGACGCGGCTGTGTGTGGGACGCACCTGTGTGGGACGCACCTGTGTGTGGGACGCACCTGTGTGTGGGACGCACCTATGTGTGGGATGCACGTGTGTGTGAGACGCACCTTTATGGGACGCACCTATATATGGGACACATGTATGTGTCGGACGCGGCTGTGTGTGGGACGCAGCTGTGTGTGGGACGCAGCTGTGTGTGGGACGCAGCTGTGTGTGGGGCGCACCTGTGTGGGACGCACCTGTGTTGGGAGCACCTGTGTGTGGGACGCTTCTGTGTGTGGGACGCACCTGTGTGTGGGACGCACCTGTGTTGGACGTAGAACTCCACTCCTGGATGCTGTTCAAACTTAGGTTTCCAGTTAATGCGGATGTCCACCCCACGTCCCTCGTCTGCCGCGTCGATGTCACCGTCACCGTCTTTATCAGCAGCCAGAATGTCACTTCCGTCGATGTCACCGTCTCCGTCTTCGTCGCCGATGTCTTTGAAGTCAACGTCACCGTCACCGTCACGATCAGCGGCTATTACGTCGTCAGAGTCAACGTCGCCGTCGTTGTCGATGTCCGCGACTGAAACGTCTTCCTCGTCGATGTCGCCGTCGTGATCGGTGTCGAGTACGTCGTCTTTGTCGACGTCACCGTCACCGTCGGTATCCTTGAGAAAGACGTCAAGATTTTTGATGTCCGTCGAGTCAATATCGCCGTCGCCATCTTTGTCAGAAGCAATGAGATCCTTACCGTCGACGTCACCATCACCATCGACGTCGACTATGTCAGCAGCGTCGACATCCTTGTCCCCGTCTCTGTCGGCTGCTCTTAAGTCGTCAGCATCGACGTCACCGTCATTGTCAACATCAGCCGCTTCGACGTCACTTTCGTCGATGTCTCCATCACCGTCGAGGTCAGTGACGTCGTGTCGGTCGATATCACCGTCGCCATCTGCGTCTGAGAGGAGGACACTTTCTCCGTCATCATCGGAGGCGTCGATGTCACCGTCACCATCCTCATCAGCAGCGATGACATCATCTCCATCGATGTCTCCGTCACCATCCTCGTCTCCGATGTCAGCCGCGTCGATGTCTCCGTCGTGGTCCCTGTCAGCAGCGAGTACGTCATTCATGTCCACGTCGCCGTCATTATCGATGTCAGCTACATCAATATCCTCCTGGTCAATGTCACCATCAGCATCAGTGTCGAGGACGTCATCACGGTCGACGTCACCGTCCTTGTCTGTGTCCGCGAGAATGGTCTTCCTCAGATCGAAGTCAGCGGCGTCGATGTCACCATCACCGTCTTTGTCCTTAACATCGAGGTCATCTTCGTCAATGAAGCCATCACCATCGATGTCACGTACGTCGGAGGCATCGACGTCATTATCACCATCTTTGTCACCTTGTCTGACGTCATCGATGTCAACATCGCCGTCGTCATCAATGTCTGCAGCTTCGATGTCTGTATCATCGATGTCACCATCGCCGTCGACGTCAAGGACGTCATCCTGATCTACGTCACCGTCGTCGTCTGTATCAGCCAGCAGCGTCTTCCTGAAGGTGAAGTCCTTGGCATCAATATCGCCATCACCATCACGGTCTTCTATTTCCAGGTCATCACCATCCACTCTGCCATCACCATCCAGGTCAGTGATATCAGCCGCGTCGACATCACCATCACCATCTCTGTCAGCCACCTTGACATCATCAGCGTCGACGTCGCCATCGTCGTCGATGTCCGCGGCAGCGAAGTCCTCAGCGTCAATGTCACCGTCTGCGTCGAGGTCAGTGACGTCGTCACGGTCGATGTCGCCGTCGCCGTCACGGTCCTCGAGGAGGGAGTCTTCCTCATTGTCGTCACTAGCGTCGATGTCACCGTCACCGTCCTCGTCAGCTTTCAGTACGTCGTGGCCATCAATATCTCCATCACCATCTTCGTCTCCGATGTCAGCAGCGTCGACGTCTCCGTCGCCGTCCCTGTCGGCGGCTTCCACGTCGTCAGCATCAACGTCGCCGTCGTTATCAATGTCGGCGATGGAATGGTCGTCGGCGTCAATGTCGCCGTCATTGTCGGCGTCGAGTAAGTCGTGTTCGTCGACATCGCCATCTTTGTCGACGTCAGTGAGGAAGGTACGTCTTAGGGCGTAGTCCCTGGCGTCCACGTCACCGTCCCCGTCCCTGTCCACAACCTCTAAGTCGTCTCCGTCAACCTTTCCATCACCGTCTAAATCTGTCAAGTCGGCCGCGTCGATATCACCGTCACCATCCTTGTCGGCGGCTTTCACGTCATCCTCGTCGATGTCACCGTCGTTGTCGACGTCTGCGGCTTTGAAGTCTTCCTCGTCTACAATGCCGTCATGATTGATGTCAACGACGTCGTCCTGGTCAACGTCACCATCTCCGTCACGATCCTCCAACAATGTGTTCTCCTCGTCATCGTCTGAAGCGTCAATATCGCCGTCACCATCTTCGTCAGCGGAGAGTACGTCGGAAGCGTCGAAGTCACCGTCGCCATCTTCGTCGCCGATGTCAGCTATGTCAACATCACCGTCGTCGTCCACGTCAGCAGCAGCCACGTCCTTCTCGTCTACAGTCCCATCATTATTGATGTCAGCAACATTGACGTCATCCTCGTCGATATCCCCGTCATTGTCAGTATCGAGGACATCATCCCTGTCGACGTCACCATCGCTATCAGTATCGCCGATGATGACGTTCAAGTTTCTGACGTCGTCGTCATCTACGTCGCCGTCAGCATCCCTGTCAGTGCCTTCTTGCTCTTCACTTTCCTTGAAGATGGACCAAGTGAACACTGGCACTGCTGGCACCATTGGCTCTCCTGGCTTCAGATCTACGTCCACAGACAACCTGAAGTGCCAACAACCATTAGTTTCTATCACTGCCAGTCACTGCTGACTCACCAACAATTACGTTACCGAACATACACAAACTAGGTAAGATTCGATCGCATTAAGGCGATCCAATCCTCGATATCTCACAACATACAATATCTTTTAAGATATAATCCTCAAAAGACAAATCTTTCACTCCTTGTAATTATTTCTGTCTTTCCTTTCCTTTCCCCCACTAACAGCTGTCATTAATGACGAAATTTACGGCAAAAACAATATTAGTCTCTGTCTCTCTCTCTCTCTCTCACCTTTGTCATATACATAACACAAACATATTTGATTCCTAATCTGGCATTTTGTATGACTTTAATGAAGTATTTTGTTTGACGGTAGGAAGTATAAGGATATCCACAATATGGATGAAAGAACTCAACTGCATATCCTTAGGACATCTTTTCTGGATAATCATTGGTCTTAGGACCTTGGTCCCTCCATATCATCATTTGGGGTGACCAAGGTTCCAGGAGCTAAACGTATCCAATGACGGTTTTCTAGGTGTATAATGCTCTTGTTTTCATCACCATGCCACGGTGCACCGTGGCCTGGTGATGGAAGGTAAGCAGAAGTATTAATTCAGGTGTATATGAGAGAATGAGAGCTAAATTAAACATGGCAAACTCGAAATGATGATTGCTGAGAGAAAATTAAAGCATGGATATTTATACTGAAGACATGAGTTATCTAGAGTTGGATTTAAGAAGTGGGTAATAGTCAGTGTTGTGTGGCTGGAGGTGAGAGTGTCGAGAGTCTAGGTGTTAAGTTAAACCTTGAGAAATGCTTTAAACCGCCCTGAATCGTCGAAATATTCAATATAAAACCATTTTAAAACATTTTCCTTAATTTTTTTAGTATTTCACGTATTTTAAAAAAAAATCACATGAAGTGTATGATAAAATCTGAGAGATTTAGAAGTGAATCGTGAGAACAATTGTTTGCGTAGATTCTGATGTTAAAATGGGAGACACTTATGGAAAGTTAAGCAAAGAACCGCAGAGTAAGACTGAATAACAAAGAGCATTTACAAAATATTTACAAACAAGTTTGACCATATAACATTTATAATCAAGTTTAATAGTAGAATATTTATCAACAAGTTTGATAACAGAACATTTATCAACAGGTTTGATAATATGTTTCAAGAGGAGAGAGAAAAGCATAAAGGAATGAGAAATGAACAAGAGTAGTCTGCCGGACTATGCGCTAGTGCAGGAAGTGTAGAGTTGCGGATTAACATATCTTAGAAAAGTTTGTCATGCGCTATCAGCTGCGGCTGATTCACCACTCTTAGGGACATTCATCTCTTATTGGACGTGCCCCATACAGCCACTCTTATGCATATTTTCTTACCAAATCAGACGCACATTAGTCAGTGCTTGCTAGGATGAGCGCACCATCTAGGTGCTTTGTAGATCTGACGATCATAGGGAAGGTTGACACTGAGGGAGTTTACCTTGCCTCTAGGAACACCTCAGACAAGCAGACTCTCAAGCTACTGACTGGCTCACACCGTAACAATTCTGCCTTTGGTACGGGGTTTACTAAAGCTGTTTAGCGAGTGTGTTCTCGTAGTCTTTCCTAACCCTATTCATTATTAGATTTAAATTGTCCCTGAAGTCTTTTCATGATTGTATATATTTGTACGTACCTTCTAGGGGTGGAAATATATAGTATATGTCAAAACAAGTGTATTCGTTATTCTTCATTGATTGCTCCTTGAGTGCATTCTACACGACCTGATACTGCATGTCTTTGATAGTATTTGTGCTTCTGGGAATGAACAATGATACAGCTGATCGTATTTAGTGACAGTTAGAATAGAACAAGAGGAATATGTCAGTGTACAGGTGAATAGTAGCCTTAATGATTCTCATGAAGATGATAGGCCTTAAACCTAACAAATTTAATAGGGGTATCATGTTATCGAGGAAGAATAAACAGAATAAACTTACCCTTCACCATCCCCGGCGCCGTTAACAGCAGCAACAGTGACCCTGTAGGTGGCTCCCTCTTCCAGTTCCGAGAGCTTGACCATGGTGACGGAGGGGTCAAGTTTCTCAGCGTACTCAGTGAGGGTTCCCTCTTGACCGTCCTCGCTCACAGTGGTGTAGTGAACCTGGTAGCCTCTTACTACACCGTGTGGCTCCTCGGGCTCTCCCCAGTCCACCAGCACGTTGTCGTCTCCCAGCTGCCTCGCCTTCAGATTAGACACTGGTCCTGACTCTGTTAGAAGAAAGCTAGCAGTTCAGAGTAGCCAAACTTGGCTAAGCTCTACCTTGGGTAAATTAAAAAATAAATCAAGTTAGATAACTGGATTGAAATATTTGGATGGATAGTCTACCTACATACAAAAGCACTTTAGTAGGCCAGTAGGCCTACAGTGTAATGATTCTGTGTGCAGCGCTCCTATTATATTCTACATGGTGGAAACAACACATTATTGATTATGCATAATAATGTCTTTGCCCAGTAGTAATTGCTGTATGAAAATAGTTCTAAATAAAAATACATTTAAGGCTGATTATCTAAAATTAACAAAATATGGACTTAAGTATCTTCCACATCATAATTAAATAACATATTAGAGATAAATCTTTATACGAGGCTTAGGTCCGTCCTGGACCAGTCTGAGCTTGTGGCAAGATAATGGTCTTAGGTCCGTCCTGGACCAGCCTCAGCTTGTGGCCAGATAATGGTCTTAGGTCCGTCCTAGACCAGTCTCAGCTTGCGGCCAGATAATGGTCTTAGGTCCGTCCTGGACCAGCCTCAGCTTGTGGCCAGATAATGGTCTTAGGTCCGTCCTGGACCAGTCTCAGCTTGCGGCCAGATAATGGTCTTAGGTCCGTCCTGGACCAGCCTCAGCTTGTGGCCAGATAATGGTCTTAGGTCCATCCTGGACCAGTCTCAGCTTGCGGCCAGATAATGGTCTAAGACAAACCGAAATGTTGTCTAAATATTTTTCACTTTGTTTGGTCTGCTTTTTACCTGTCAGGTACTGAGACTTTTGTTGTTCCTACAGGATAGTTCCTTCAAGAATTCTTTTACCGGGTAACCAAGTCTTGACGAGGCTCCCATGACAGCCAAACCTTGACGAAGTTCCCCTGACAGCCAAGTCTTGACGAGGCTCCCATAACAGCCAAGTCTTGACGAGGCTCCCCTGACAGCCAAGTCTTGACGAGGCTCCCATAACAGCCAAGTCTTGACGAGGCTCCTCTGACAGCCAAGTCTTAACGAGGCTCCCATAACAGCCAAGTCTTGACGAGGCTCCCATAACAGCCAAGTCTTGACGAGGCTCCCATAACAGCCAAGTCTTGACGAGGCTCCCCTGACAGCCAAGTCTTGACGAGGCTCCCATAACAGCCAAGTCTTGACGAGGTTCCCATAACAGCCAAGTCTTGACGAGGCTCTCATGACAGCCAAGTCTTGACGAGGCTCCCATAACAGCCATGTCTTGACGAGGCTCCCATAACAGCCAAGTCTTGACGAGGCTCCCATAACAGCCAAGTCTTGACGAGGCTCCCATAACAGCCAAGTCTTGACGAGGCTCCCATAACAGCCAAGTCTTGACGAGGCTCCCATAACAGCCAAGTCTTGACGAGGCTCCCATAACAGCCAAGTCTTGACGAGGCTCCCATAACAGCCAAGTCTTGACGAGGTTCCCATAACAGCCAAGTCTTGACGAGGTTCCCATAACAGCCAAGTCTTGACGAGGCTCTCATGACAGCCAAGTCTTGACGAGGCTCCCATAACAGCCAAGTCTTGACGAGGCTCCCCTGACAGCCAAGTCTTGACGAGGCTCCCCTGACAGCCAAGTCTTGACGAGGCTCCCCTGACAGTGACACGCTGCATCTCTGACAGTCATATTCTCAACTTATTTCGATGCTATCTATAACTTTAGCAAATTATCTTTTTTAACAATGAATAATATTTTGTTCTTGTGTTTAACTTACATTCGCAGCTTCATGGCTCATCTCGTGTTGCTTATCTGTGTCAGAGGGAAATTTTCAAAGTCAGTTCTCACATGAAGGTCCAGCGTACAGTGCAAGTTCCGTAAATGTAATGGAAAAAGTACATGGAACATTGACGAGAATATGGGACGGTCTATAGAGGTTTATTGACTGTAACATTCAATAAAGTAACATCATACCTAGCTGACTATCATGGTGTAGGAGTGCACGTGTGGTGTGAAGGTCATGCCAGGCTGACTATCATGGTGTAGGAGTGCACGTGTGGTGTGAAGGTCATGCCAGGCTGACTATCATGGTGTAGGAGCGCACGTGTGGTGTGAAGGTCATGCCAGGCTGACTATCATGGTGTAGGAGCGCACGTGTGGTGTGAAGGTCATGCCAGGCTGACTATCATGGTGTAGGAGTGCACGTGTGGTGTGAAGGTCATGCCAGGCTGACTATCATGGTGTAGGAGCGCACGTGTGGTGTGAAGGTCATGCCAGGCTGACTATCATGGTGTAGGGGTGCACGTGTGGTGTGAAGGTCATGCCAGGCTGACTATCATGGTGTAGGAGCGCACGTGTGGTGTGAAGGTCATGCCAGGCTGACTATCATGGTGTAGGAGTGCATGTGTGGTGTGAAGGTCATGCCAGGCTGACTATCATGGTGTAGGAGTGCACGTGTGGTGTGAAGGTCATGCCAGGCTGACTATCATGGTGTAGGAGCGCACGTGTGGTGTGAAGGTCATGCCAGGCTGACTATCATGGTGTAGGAGTGCATGTGTGGTGTGAAGGTCATGCCAGGCTGACTATCATGGTGTAGGAGTGCACGTGTGGTGTGAAGGTCATGCCAGGCTGACTATCATGGTGTAGGAGTGCATGTGTGGTGTGAAGGTCATGCCAGGCTGACTATCATGGTGTAGGGGTGCACGTGTGGTGTGAAGGTCATGCCAGGCTGACTATCATGGTGTAGAGGTGCACGTGTGGTGTGAAGGTCATGCTAGGCTGACTTTCATGGTGTAGGGGTGCCCCTGTGGTGTGAAGGTCATGCCAGGCTGACTATCATGGTGTAAGAGTGCACGTGTGGTGTGAAGGTCATGCCAGGCTGACTATCATGGTGTAGGAGTGCACGTGTGGTATGAAGGTCATGCCAGGCTGACTATCATGGTGTAGAAGTGCACGTGTGGTGTGAAGGTCATGCCAGGCTGACTATCATGGTGTAGGAGTGCACGTGTGGTGTGAAGGTCATGCCAGGCTGATTATCATGGTGTAGAGGTGCACGTGTGGCGTGAAGGTCATGCCAGGCTGACTATCATGGTATAGGGGTGCACGTGTGGTGTGAAGGTCATGCCAGGCTGACTATCATGGTGTAGGAGCGCACGTGTGGTGTGAAGGTCATGCCAGGCTGACTATCATGGTGTAGGAGTGCACGTGTGGTGTGAAGGTCATGCCAGGCTGACTATCATGGTGTAGGGATGCACGTGTGGTGTGAAGGTCATGCCAGGCTGACTATCATGGTGCAGAGATGAACATGTGGATATTATACCTGGCTGATTATCATGGTGCAGGAGTTTACCTGGAGCCTACCTAGAGAAGGTTTTGGGGGTCAACGCCCCCGCGGCTCGGTCTGAGACCAGGCCTCGTGGTGGATCAGGTTCTGATCAATCAGGCTGTTACTGCTGGCCGCATGCAAACTGACGTACGAACCACAGCCCGGCTGGTCAAATACTGACTTCAGGTGCCTCTGCAGTGCCTGCTTGAAGACAGCCAGGGGTCTATTGGTAATCCCCCTTATGTATGCTGGGAGGCAGTTGAACAGTCTTGGGCCCCTGACACTTATTGTATTGTCTCTCAGTGTACTCGTGGCACCCCTGCTTTTCATCGGGGGAATGTTGCATCTCCTGCTGAGTCTTTTGCTTTCATAGGGAGAGATTTTCGTGTTCAAGTTTGGTACTAATCCCTCTAAGACTTTCCTAGTGCATATTTTCATGTATCTCTCTCGCCTGGGTTCCAGGGAATACAAATCAAGGGCCTTCGACTGTTAACGGTAATTTAGGTACCTTACAGTACTTATGTGCGCATTCTCCAGGTCAACAATTTCGCCAACCTTGAAGGGGGCAGTTAGTGTACAGCAGTATTCCAGCCTAGAGAGAACACGAGATTTGAAGATAATCATCATGGTCTTGGCGTCCCTACCACTTTCATACCAGATGCAGTAGATACATTGTTGTGGTCTTTGAAGGTGAGATCCTCTGGCATCACTCCAAGGTCCATCACATTACTTTTTCCCTGTATTGCATAGTTAGAATTGTCGTATACCCTGATACAGTTTTAATTTCCTCAAGTTTTCCATATCTGAGTAGTTGATATTTCTCTTCATTGAACTTCATATTGTGTTGAGTGGACCATTTGAAGATTTGGTTGATGTCTGCTTGGAGTTTTGTGGTGTCTTCCGTGGAGGTCACTCTCATGGCAGTCCGGGTGTCATCCGCAAAGGAAGATAAGGAGCTATGGCTTACATCTCTGTCTATGTCAGAAATGAGGATGAGGAATAGAATGGGAGCGAGCACTGTGCCTTGTGGAACAGAGCTTTTCACCGTAGCTGCCTCAAACTCTACTCTGTTTACTATTACTCTTTGTGTTCTATATGTCAGGAAGTTATAGAACTATCTACCAACTTTTCCTGTTATTCCTTTATCACGCATTTTGTGTGTTATTACACCATGGTTACACTTGTTGAAAGCTTTTGCAAAGTCTGTGTATACTACATCTGTATTTTGTTTATCCTCTACAGCATCCACAACCTTGCCATAGTGGTCCAGTAGCTGGGACAGGCAGATGCAACCTGCTCTAAACCCATGTTGCCCTGGGTTGTGTAATTGATGGGTATCTAGGTGGTTGGCTATCTTAAGAACACAAGAACATAAGAACGAAGGAACACTGCAGCAGGCCTACTGGCCCATGCAAGGCAGGTCCAAGTGTCCTACTGGCTTAAGCCAATGCACCCAACCTAGTCAGGTCAGGTCACCTTGACTTAAGGGAGGAACACGGCAACCGACCTGGTAGCACGAGCTAATCAGGTCCAACTCACACCCACCCACATCCACTCATGTATTTATCCAACCTATTTTTAAAGCTACACAACGTTCTGGCCTCTATAACTGTACTTGGGAGTTTGTTCCACTCATCCACAACTCTATTACCAAACCAGTACTTTCCTATGTCCTTCCTGAATCTGAATTTTTCTAACTTAAAACCATTGCTGCGAGTCCTGTCTAGGCTAGATATTTTCAGCACACTATTTACATCACCTTTGTTTATTCCTGTTTTCCATTTATTCACCTCAATCATATCCCCCCTAATTCTACGTCTTTCTAGAGAGTGCAGATTCAGGGCCCTTAGTCTATCCTCATAGGGAAGGTTTCTGATACATGGGATCAACTTTGTCATCCTCCTTTGTACATTTTCCAGAGCATTTATATCCATTCTGTAATACGGTGACCAAAACTGTGCAGCATAATCTAAATGAGGCCTAACCAAGGATGTACAGAGTTGTAGAACAACCTGAGGACTCCTATTATTTATGCTTCTTGATATGAAACCAAGGATTCTATTAGCTTTATTGCGAACACTTATGCACTGTTGTCTTGGTTTCAGATTACTGCTAACCAGAACTCCTAAATCTTTTTCGCAATCCGTAATATTAAGATCTACATTATTTAGTTTATATGTGGCATGGTTATTGTCCTGTCCAACATTTAGAACTTTGCATTTGTCTATATTAAACTGCATCTGCCACCTCTCCGACCACTGCATCAGTCTACTCAAATCTTCCTGGAGTGCTCTAATGTTCTCGTCAGAATGAATTTGACGGCCTATTTTGGTGTCATCGGCAAACTTGCTGATGCCGCTCTTTATGCCCTCATCTATGTCGTTTATGTAGATTGTGAACAGCAGGGGGCCCAACACTGACCCCTGTGGAACACCGCTCGTGACGCTTCCCCACTCTGATTTCTCCCCATTTATGCAAACTCTCTGCTGCCTATTTGTCAACCATGCCTCTATCCAGGAAAAATTTTTCTCCTATTCCATGTGCCTTAATTTTCCTCAATAGTCTCTGATGTGGGACCCTGTCAAAAGCCTTAATGAAGTCCATATACACAATATCATATTCATTACCATGATCTACCTCCTCAAATACCTTAGTGAAAAAAGTTAATAAATTCGTAAGGCAGGAACGCCCCTTTGTAAAACCATGCTGAGATTCGTTGATTTATTTATGCTTTTCAAGGTGGCTACGAACTGCCTCGGCAATTATTGATTCCATAAATTTTCCCACTATGGAGGTTAGGCTTATTGGTCTATAGTTCGAAGCTAAGGACCTGTCATCTGCTTTGAAAATAGGTATCACATTTGCCATTTTCCACTTATCTGGCACCATGCCAGTTTGTAGTGATATGTTGAAAAGATTTGCTAAGCACCTCTTTACATTCCTTTAGAACCCTTGCATACAGTTCATCAGGGCCTGGGGATTTGTTAGGTTATAATTTATCTATTTGCCTAAGGACCATGTCACTTGTGACCCTAATCGTGCACAGTTTATTATCGTCCTGTTCCACATAATTTATCATTTCTGGAATATCGCTGGTATCCTCCTGTGTAAAAACTGAGAGGGAGTATGTGTTAAAAATTCTACACATTTCCTTGTCACTGTCAGTGAGCTGACCCGAGGAACCTTTGAGTGGGCCTATCTTGTCCCTGATCTTACTTCTGTATACCTGAAAGAATTCTTTTGGGTTAGTCTTCAATTCTCTTGCAACTTTAACCTCATAATCTCTTTTTGCTTTTCTAATTCCTTTTTTTTATTTCTCTCTTTAACTGAATATATCGATTTCTTAATTGCCCCTCTCCTCTTTTGATTTGCCTATATATGCCTCTCTTTTGACCAATTAGATATTTTAATATATTGTTCATCCATTTAGGATCATTTTTGTTTGATCTGATTTCCCTATTTGGAACATAATTTGACTGAGCAGCTAGAACTATGCCCTGGAAAGCGTCATATCGGAAAACCATCACCACCAAAACTGACCCTTAGTCAGGTCATCCCAGTTCAGCCAACCTAAGTAATTTTTCAGTCCTATGAAATCAGCCAAGCGGAAGTCAGGGACGAGACTTGTTGCCATTTTTTGGGGGAAATTTCCATGATATATTAAAACTGAGTGATTTGTGATCACTTTCCCCAAGCTCATCATTAACCTCAAGATTATTAATTAGTGTTTCCCTACTGGCAAAAAACCAGTCAAGGAGGTTTTTTTCCCTAGTTGGCTCTGTCACAAACTGTTTTAAAAAACAATCCTGGATCGTATCAAGAAAGTCACCTGACTCTAAATTTCCTGTCAAATTGCTCCAGTCAATCTGTCTATAGTTGAAATCTCCCATTAGCACAACATTTTCGTATGTAGATGCCTTACGAATTTCGTCCCATAGAAGTTTACTGCACTCCCTATCAAGATTTGGGACCCTGTAAATCACACCCAAAATTAGTTTTTCTCGGCCCTCGAAAGAGTTTTACGTTATGGATGTTAGTGTTATCGGTCTGTAGTTCTTTGCAATTGTTTTACTGCCACCTTTGTGCAGTGGGGGTATGCCAGTTGTGTTTTTAGTGAGTGTGGGAATACCCCTGTGTCCATGCTCCCTCTCCATAGAATGCTGAAGGCATGCGACAGGGGCTTCTTGCAGTTCTTGATGAACACGGAGTTCCATGAGTCTGGGCCTGGGGCAGAGTGCATGAGCATGTCATTTATTGCCTTTTTCAAAGTCTTGTGGTGCTAGGATAATATCCGAGATTTTTTAGATGACCAGATTTTGGGTCTAGTTCATAAAGAATTCATTTGGATTGTAGACCCTTAATCTGGGCAGTGGCTCGCTGAACACTGAGTCGTATTGGGACTTTAGTATCTTACTCATTTCTTGTCTATCATCTATGTATGTACCATCCCGCCTAAGTAGGACCCCAATACTAGATGTTATTTTTTCCTTAGATTTGTCGTAAGAAAATAAATATTTTTTTTCAGTTTCCTTTATGGCTTTTAGTTCTTCCTGTGATTCTTGTTTCCTGTAAGATTTCTTCAGCTCATGTTCGATATTTGCACTTTCATTGGACAGTGTCTCCCTTCGTATTTCAGATATATTGGCCCCTCTCAGCAGCTCTGTGATTCTTCGCCTTCGTCTGTATAAGTAGCGCCTCTCTCTTTCTAGTTTACATCTTCTCTTCCTTTTTCTTAATGGAAAGTGACTTGAGCAGACCTCAAGAACCACAGTGCTAATTTTTTCTAGGCAAAGGTTCGGATCCGTGTTGTTTAGGATATTTTCCCAGCTTGTTTCATTTAGGACATGGTTGACTTGTTGCCATTGTATGTTTTTTTTTGAAATTGAATTTAGTGAAGAGACCTTAATGACTGATCACATTTTGCTGGTCAGGAGCCCTGTGCATACATGTCTGTACCTCTATTATGTTGTGATCTGAGTGTATTGTCTTTGATACGTTATATTACGTATCAGATCGTCGATGTTAGTGAAGATGAGGTCCAGCGTATTTTCTAGTCTTGTAGGCTCTAATATTTGCTGTTTTAAGGTGAATTGGTGCAGAGATTTAATAGCTCTTGTGTGTGTGTGTGAATTTTCATCTGAGCTGCCTCCTGGGGTAGTCTCTGCTAAAATATTATTTGCTACACTCCTCCATGTTAGGTGTCTCAGGTTGAAATCTCCCAGTAGCAAGATGTTTGGGGCAGGAGTTGGGAGATTTTCCAGACAGTGGTCAATTTTCACAAGCTGCTCCCGGAATTGCTGGGAAATTGCATCTGGAGGCTTGTATACAGCAACACGAATGGAGATCATACCAGGCTGACTATCATGGTGCAGAGGTGAACATGTGGAGATCATACCAGGCTGATTATCATGGTGCAGAGATGAACATGTGGAGATCATACCTGGCTGACTTTTATGGAGCAGGAGTGCATGTGTGATCATACCCGGTTGATTATCATGGTGCAGGGGTACACTTGTGATCATACCCGGTTGATTATCATGGTGCAGGGGGACACCTTTTGAAACATACCCGGTTGTTATCATGGTGCAGGGGTAACTTGTGATCATTTCCCGGTTGTTTTTCATGGTGCAGGGGTACACTTGTGATCATACCCGGTTGATTATCATGGTGCAGGGGTACACTTGTGATCATACCCGGTTGATTATCATGGTGCAGGGGTACACTTGTGATCATACCCGGTTGATTATCATGGTGCAGGGGTACACTTGTGATCATACCCGGTTGATTATCATGGTGCAGGGTACACTTGTTTATCATACCGGTTGATTATCATGGTGGGAGGGGGACACTTGTGATCATACCCGGTTGATTATCATGGTGCAGGGGTACAATTGTGATCATACCCCGGGTTGGGTTATCATGGTGCAGGGGTACACTTGTGATCATACCCGGTTGATTATCATTGTGCATGAGTCCATGAGCGAAGATGGAACCTAGCTAACCTACGTTAGAGCCTGCATAATGCTTTCTGGAGTTTACCTGGAGAGAGTTCCGGGGGTCAACGCCCCCGCGGACCGGTCTGTGACCAAGCCACATTAAAAAAAATGAAAAATTTTGACTCCCGATTGACAATTTCAAGAAGTCAGGAAGAAAAAAAAAAAGTAATTTTCCGAGGCGTTAATGAGGCACTGACCTCCTTCAGCAGTCTTGAAGGTAATAATGGAGGATGCTGGTCCGGTGAAGGCAGAGTTGACAACACTGACGCGGGCACGGTAATTTGTGAAGGGCTGCAGACCCGTCAGTTCAGCTCGACCCACTGGTCCTGTCGTTAGCACTTGGTCGTGGTCGTGGTCGTCGTCGTCATCGTCGGCACCGTCGTCATCCACCCAGTACTCAACCTGAGAACATACACGTATGACTGTTATATCTCACAGAGATAAGGATTATAGATAACTTTCCATTGCGTAACAGTAGTCCTGGATGACCTTGACTCCAGTTAACATAGTTCTGGATGACCTCGACTCCTGCTAACATAGTTCTGGATGACCTCGACTCCTGCTAACATAGTTCTGGATGACCTCGACTCCTGCTAACATAGTTCTGGATGACCTCGACTCCTGCTAACATAGTTCTGGATGACCTCGACTCCTGCTAACATAGTTCTGGATGACCTCGACTCCTGCTAACATAGTTCTGGATGACTTCGACTCCTGCTAACATAGTCCTGGATGACCTCGACTCATGCTAACATAGTCCTGGATGACCTCGACTCCTGTAACATAGTTCTGGATGCACTCGACTCATGTAACATTAAATTTCCCGGATGACCTCGACTCCCGCTAACATAGTCCTGGATGACCTTTGACTCCTGCTAAAAATAGTTCTGGATGACCTCGACTCATGCTAAATTAGTCCTGGATGACCTCGACTCCTGCCAACATAGTTCTGGATGACCTCGACTCCTGCTAACATAGTTCTGGATGACCTCGACTCCTGCTAACATAGTCCTGGATGACCTCGACTCCTGCCAACATAGTCTGGATGACCTCGACTCCTGCTAACATAGTCCTGGATGACCTCGACTCCTGCTAACATAGTTCTGGTGGGCCTCGACTCCTGCTAACATAGTCCTGGATGACCTCGACTCCTGCCAACATAGTCCTGGATGACCTCGACTCATGCTAACATAGTCCTGGATGACCTCGACTCCTGCCAACATAGTTCTGGATGACAAGCTTGTTAACAACAACCGACTACCTCATCTCAGGGACGAAGAGAAAAATATATTAAAGTTTCCATTTGCAGCAGTTAATAGGAAGTGTCCCCATGGCTGTAGCAAGTGACGTGGTGCTACGTTCACCTACGATGATCACTCAAAAAATATATCTATCAAGGCCAAGGGATTACATACAATGATTTTATTTCACTTTGCAACAGTATCACAAGTATGACAACTGACCTTGTAGCCTAAGAGGAGTCCGTTGACAGAGTCCTCGTCAACAGGAATCCATGTGAGTACAGCGTCAGTGGCGTCAGCGTCAGTTACTCTCAGGTTATCAGGGTTTTCCTCCGGTACTGTGAGAAAAAGATATTAGTCCAGGGTATTCACACTTATAACTAGCAGTTTCACCTCTTATTGTAGATTATAATAACATAATTCGCTCTGTAAATGGATACAAACTTAGCTCGATATGTTTCAGTTGCTGCTCGATCCTTGATCATAGAAAGTGATCCCCATATCTCATAAGCCCAGCCCTATATATGTCAGTGCATGGAAAGGCACAGTACAGTGTAGTATGATTCTCAAATGCGGATAATTATAAGAAGAGGCAATAACACGTTACCAGATGGAAGCTAATAGACCAATTTCTTTAATAAAAATTGTAAATTGGCACCTACACACACCAAAATTGGCACCTACACACACCAAAATTGGCACCTACACACACCAAAATTGGCACCTACACACACCAAAATTGGCACCTACACACACCAAAATTGGCACCTACACACACCAAAATTGGCACCTACACACACCAAAATTGGCACTTACACACACCAAAACCAATATTCAGAAGTCACCAGAATTTAAGTTTGAAGCCGACCAGAGGTTGAATTCTCAAGTTATCGGTGGTGAGGGTTTCAAGCTGATCGGATGAGGCGTTCACAAGTTGTAATGTAAAAACCAGTTTATGAATTTTCTAAATTTCTTCAACTATACTGTCAAATTAATACACACACACACACACACACACACACACACACACACACACACACACACACACACACACACACAAATACACACACATACACACACATACACACACATACACACACACACACCACACACACACACACACACACACACACACACACACACACACACACACACACACACACACACACACAAATACACACACATACACACACATACACACACATACACACACACACCACACACACACACACACACACACACACACACACACACACACACACACACACACACACACACACACACACACACACACACACACACTTGGAGCCACATGGGGGCCAAGATACATGGAGGGCTAAGATGATGGAGGTGGTACTGGAAAACTTCATGTACCAACACGCAAGGGACACTACAAGAGAGAGAGGATGAACCAGCAAGGCTGGACCTAGTATTCACCTTGAGTAGTGCAGATATTGAGGACATCACATACGAAAGACTCCTTGGGGCCAGCGATCACTTGGTTTTAAGCTTCGAATACACAGTAGAGCTACAAGTGGAGGGAGAAGCAGGAAGGCCAGGACGAATGAAGCCAAACTACAAGAAAGGGGATTACACGGGAATGAGGAACTTCCTGAACGGGGTTCAGTGGGACAGAGAACTGGCAGGGAAGCCAGTTAATGAGATGATGGAATATTTAGCAACAATATGCAAGGAGGCTGAGGAGAGGTTTGTACCCAAGGGTAACAGGAATAATGAAAAAGCCAGGATGAGCCCATGGTTCGCCCAAAGGTGCGGGGAGGCAAAAACCAAGTGTGCTAGGGAATGGAAGAAATATAGAAGGCAAAGGACCCAGGAGAATAAGGAGAGCAGTCGTAGAGCCAGAAACGAATATGCACAGATAAGAAGGGAGGCCCAACAGCAATATGAAAACGACATAGCAGCGAAAGCCAAATCTGGCCACATCAGTCAAGGACCAGGTAATCAGGCTAAGGAAGGAAGGAGGAGAGACAACAAGAAATGACCCTGAAGCACGTGAGGAACTCAACAAGAGATTCAAAGAAGTGTTCACAGAGGAGACAGAAGGACTCCAGAAAGACGGAGAGGTGGGGCACACCACCAAGTGCTGGACACAGTGCACACAACCGAGGAAGAAATGAAGAGGCTTCTGAGTGAGCTAGATACCTCAAAGGCAATGGGGCCGGATAACATCTCCCCATGGGTCCTGAGAGAGGGAGCAGAGGTGCTATGTGTACCCCTAACAACAATATTCAATACATCTATCGAAACAGGGAGATTGCCTGAGGCATGGAAGACAGCAAATATAGTCCCAATCTTTAAATAAGGAGACAGACATGAAGCACTAAACTACAGACCAGTGACACTGACATGTATAGTATGCAGAATCATGGAGAAGATTATCAGAAGAGTGGTGGAACACCTAGAAAGGAATGATCTCATCAACAGCAGCCAACATGGTTTCAGGGACGGGAAATCCTGTGTCACAAACCTACTGGAGTTCCATGACATGGTGACAGCAGTAAGACGAGAGAGAGGGGGGTGGGTGGATTGCATATTCTTGGACTGCAAGAAGGCGTTTGACACAGTTCCACACAAGAGATTAGTGCAATAACTGGAAAACCAAGCAGGGATAACAGGAAAGGCACTACAATGGATCAGGGAATACTTGTCAGGAAGATAGCAGCGAGTCATGGTACGTGGCGAGGTGTCAGAGTGGGCACCTGTGACCAGCGGGGTTCCACAGGGGTCAGTCCTAGGACCAGTGCTGTTTCTGGTATTCGTGAACGACATGACGGTAGGAATAGACTCTGAGGTGTCCCTGTTTGCAGATGACGTGAAGTTGATGAGAAGAATTCTTTCGATCGAAGACCAGGCAGAACTACAAAGGGATCTGGACAGGCTGCAGGCCTGGAGTTCAATCCCACCAAGTGCAAAGTCATGAAGATTGGGGAAGGGCAAAGAATACTGCAGACGGAGTACCGTCTAGGGGGCCAGAGACTACAAACCTCACTCAAGGAAAAAGATCTTGGGGTGAGTATAACACCAGACACATCTCCTGAAGCGCACATCAACCAAATAACGGCTGCAGCATATGAGCGCCAAGCAAACCTCAGAACAGCATTCCGACATCTTAATAAGGAATCGTTCAGGACCCTGTACACCGTGTACGTTAGGCCCATATTGGAGTATGCAGTACCAGTTTGGAACCCACACCTAGCCAAGCACGTAAAGAAACTAGAGAAAGTGCAAAGGTTTGCAACAAGACTAGTCCCAGAGCTAAGAGGTATGTCCTACGAGGAGAGGTTAAGGGAAATCAACCTGACGACACTGGAGGACAGGAGAGATAGGGGGGACATGATAAAGACATACAAAACACTCAAGCTAAGTATAACCTACCTACTAAAATTCTTCACATACATAATATAGTAACACAAACATAATACAAAAGGTTAAAAATCCTCAAAATCAGTTTAAATAACAATTGTGAAATATTAACAAGTAACTCATCTAGGACATTGATATCCCAACTGTAGTGACAAAACGTGATAAATAATTAAAATATTTCAGAGTGAAGGCAACTGGGAGGCACACGTGTGCACGGAGCGAGGAGGCATTTCACCCACAAGTTCACAAGTGAATAGTATAGCAGGGACACCAGGCACAGTGCACAGAGAGGTGCGGATCACCCACAAGGTCATAGAGAGATCAGATCACCACAAGGTGCACTAGAGGAGAGCAGGATCACCCACAAGTGACACAGCGAGGGCAGTCCACCCACAAGTGCATCAGAGAGAGCAGGAACTACCCCAAGGTGCACAGAGAGGACAGAATCACCCACAAGGTCACAGAGAGGGCAGGATCACCCACAATTGCTCAGATAGGAGCAGATCACCCACAAGTGCACAGAGAGGGGCAGATCAACCCACAATGTGCACAGAGAGCGGAACAGACATCCCACAAGGTGCACAGAGAGGAGCAGTATCACCCACAGGTGGCACAGAGAAGGGCAGAACAGAATCACACAGAAGGTGCACATAGAGAGGCAGAACACCCCACAAGTTGCATAGAGAGGTCAGGATCACCCACAAGGGTCATAGGAGAGTGTAGATCACCTACAAGTTCAAAGAGAGAGGCAGGATCATCACAGGTGCACAGAGAGGGGGGAGATCAACCCAAAGATGCACCAGAGAGGGTCCGGATCAACCCACAAGGTGCATAGAGAAGAGGCAAGGATCCACCCACAAGGTGCATAGAGAGGGCAGATCACTAACAAGGGGACATAGATAGGTAGATCACCTACAAGGTGCATAGAAGAGGCAATGATCATCCACAAGGTGCTCCAGAGAGGGGCAGGATCACCCCACACAGGTGAATAGAGAGAGGGCAGATCAACCCACAAGGTGCATAGAGAGAGGCAGGATCACCCACAAGGTACATAGAGAGGCAGTCACCCCAAGGTACAATAGAGAGAGCAGGATCACCCACAAGTAGTTGTCTGGAATGGTCTCACCATCCTGGCCTGAGAGACCGTGTGTAGGTGTCTCTGACGGGGGGCATCACCGTAGCGTTATAGGCCACACACCTGCACCTCATACTTGTGTAAAGGGTGGCAGGACCTCACCTCCACCTCAGTCCCGAAGTAACACAATAACACCTACGAATTAATTAGCAACCAATAAATATCAATTACCATATAACAATAGAAGGGAGAAGAAAGGGTATATGTATATACATATAAGAATTAAGTGGATTAGAATACGGGTGGATGTTAAGAAAGTGGCTATAGTTTTTATGCACCTCTATAGAGGGAGAAACTTGGCAGTGGGCGGAGTAACTTTCGGAGTACCCAAGGGTAAAAGATGATAGGGGGATTGGGACCATCTTAACTGAATCAATGTATACGCCAAGAGGTTTAGCAATATAAAATACATATACATAATACATATATTAAGAAAAAGAGGATAAATAAGTACACATGATACGAAATAAAGGGAAATAACAGTAATTTGTTAAACTAAGTATAAGTAGATAAGGAGTCGATGTGGATGTGTTTAGAAAGGACGAACATAATCAATCAAGATAAGAAGAGGGGTGGAATGGGAAACAAGGAGAATGTCAATCAAATGATAAGAGAGAGTATTAGCTAATAAATTAAATGATACAGGAAGGTAAGGGTGGGAAGGAAAAGAAGTGATTGGTGGAATTACCATATGAGAGATTTTTGCAATATAGAAGCATAATAAGGAAGATTTATCAACAATTTTTGCTGAAGAAGTTTTGGTGAGAGGAAAATAAGTTGCGACAGAGAAGGTAACACATAGGAAGGTACGGGAAGTGGAGGTCCCTGGAAGGTGGAGGTACAGGGTAATGTGGAAAAGTACTGGGAAGGTGGAGGTACTGGGAAGGTGGAGGTACTGGGAAGGTGGAGGTACTGGGAAGGTGGAGGTACTGGGAAGGTGGAGGTACTGGGAAGGAGGAGTACTGGGAAGGTAGGTACTGGGAAGGTGGACGTACTGGAAGGTTGGAGGAACTGCGGAAGGGTGGAGTACTGGAAGGTGGAGGTACTGGGAAGGATGGAGGTACAGGGAAGGTGAGGTACTGGGAAAGGAGGAGGGTACTGGAAGGTGGAGGTACTTGGGTGAAGTGGAGTACTGGGAAGGTGGAGGTACTGGGAAGGAGGAGTACTGGGAAAGGTGAGGTAACTGGGAAGGTGGACGCCCTGGGAAGGTGGAGGTACTGGGAAGGTGGAGGGTACTGGGAAGGTGGAGGTACTGGAAGGTGGAGTACTGTGAAGGTGGAGGTACGGAATGTGTGAGGTACTGGATTGGACGTACTGGAAGGTGGAGGTAACTGGGAAGGGGAGGTACTGGAAGGTGGAGGTACCTGGGAAGGTGGAGGTACTAAACTAAAGACGGACAACAGCGGGTGGTAGGTACTAGAGAACAAGTGAGAGTACTGGGAAGGTGGATGTACTGGGAAGGTGGAGGTACTGGGAAACTGGAGGTACTGGGAAGGTGGAGGTACTCTGGAAGGTGGAGGTAACTGGAAGGAGGAGGAGCTGGAAGGTGGAGGTACGGAACAGGTGGAGGTACTGGAAGGTGAGGTACTGGGAAAGGTTGGAGGTACTGTAAGGTGGAGGTACTGGGAATGTGAGGTACTGGGAAGGTGAGGTACTGGGAAGGGTGGAGGTACTGGGAAGGGGAGGGTACAGGGAAGGTGGAGTACTGGGGAAGGTGGAGGTACTGGGAAGGTGGAGGTACTGGGAAGGTGGAGGTACTGGGAAGGTGGACGTACTGGGAAGGTGGAGGTACTGGGAAGGTGGAGGTACTGGGAAGGTGGAGGTACTGGGAAGGTGGAGGTACTGGGAAGGTGGAGGTACTGGGAAGGTGGAGGTACTGGTCAGGTGGACGTAACTGGGAATGTGAGGTACTGGGAAGGTGGAGGTACTGGGAAGGTGGAGGTACTGAAGGTGGAGTACAGGGAATGTGGAAGTACTGGGAAGTGGAAGTACTGAAGGTGGTGAGGTACTGGGAAGGTGGAGGTTACTGGGAAGTGGAGGTACTGGAATGTGAGGTACTGGGAAGGTGGAGGTACTGAAGGAGTACTGGGAAGGATGGAGTACTGGGGAAGTGGACCGTACTGGGAAGGTGGAGTACTGGGAAGGTGGAGGTACTGGAAGGTGGAGGTACTGGGAAGGTGAGGTACGGGAAGGGTGGAGGTACTGTGAAGGTGGTGGACGTACTGGGAAGGTGGAGGGTACTGGGAAGGTGGAGGTACTGGGAAGGTGGAGGTACTGGGAAGGTGGAGGTACTTGGGAATGTGGAGGTGGACTAGGAAGGTGGAACGTACTGGGAAGGTGGAGGTACTGGGAAGGTGGAGGTACTGGGAAGGTGGAGGTACTGGGAAGGTGGAGGTACTGGGAAGGTGGAGGTACTGGGAAGGTGGAGGTACTGGGAAGGTGGAGGTACTGGGAAGGTGGAGGTACTGGGAATGGAGGTACTGGAAAGTGGAGGTTACTGGAAGGTGGAAGTACGAGGGGCACACACACAAGGTACTGGAAGTGGAGTAGCTGGAAAGGTGAGGTACTGGGAAAGGTGGAGGTACTGTGAAGTGTGGAGGTACTGGGAAGGTGGAGGTACTGGGAAGGTGGAAGTACTGGGAAGGTGGAGGTACAGTGGGAGGTGGAGGTAAACTGGGACGGTGGAGGTACTGGAAAGGTTGGAGTACTGGAAGGTGGAGTTACTGGGAAGGTGGAGTTACTGGAAGGTGGAAGAGTACTGGGAAGGTGGAAGTTACTGGGAAGGTGGAGGTATTTTCTGAAGTGGAGGTACTTGGAAAGGTGGGAGGTACTGGGAAGGTGAGGTACTGGAAAGGTGGAGGTACTGGGAAGGGGAGGTTACTGGGAAGGTGGAAGTAACTGGGAAGTGAGGAGTACTGGGAAGTGAAGTACTGGGAAGGTGAGTACTGGAAGGTGGAAGGTACTGGGAAGGGGAAGGTACTGGAAGGTGGAGTACTGGGGAAGTGGAGGTACTGGGGAAGTGAGGTACTGGGGAAGGTGGAGGTACTGGGAAGGTGGAAGTACTGGGAAGGTGGAGGTACTGGAAGGTGGAAGGTACTGGGAAGGTGAGGTAACTGGGAAGGGGAGGTACTGGGAGGTGGAGGTACTGGGATGGTGGAGGTACTGGGAAGGTGGAGGTACGGGAAGGTGGAGGTACTGGGAAGGTGGAAGTACTGGAAGGTGGAGTACAGGGAAGTGTGGAGGTACTGGTAAGGTGGAGGACTGGGGAAGGTGGAGTACTGGCGGTGGAAGTACTGAGGAAGGTGGAGGTACTGGGAAAAGGTGAGGTACTGGGAAGTGGAGTACTGGGGAAGTAGGAGGTAACTGGAAGGTGGAGGTACGGGAATGTGAAGTACTGGGATGGTGGAGGTGTACTGGGAAGGTGAGGTACAGGGAAGAGTGGAGGTACTGAAGGTGGAGGTACGGAAGGTGGAGGTGCTGGGAAGGTGAAGACTGGAAAGGTGAGGTACTGGGAAGGTGGAGGTACTGGGAAGGTGGAAGTACTGGGAAGGTGGAGGGGTACTGGAAGGGGAGGTACTGGAAGTGGAGGTACTGGGAAGGTGGAGGTAGTGGAAGGTGAGGTACGGGAAGGTGGAGGTACTGGAAGGTGGAGGTACTGTTATAGGGAGGTACTGGGACTGGGAAGAGGGAGGTATACAGGAAAGGGAGTACTGAAGAGGGAGGTACTTGAAGAGGGAGGTACTGGAAGAGGGAGGTCCTGTGAAGAGGAGGTACTGGGAAGAGGGAGGTACTGGGAAGATGAGGTACTGGAAAAGAGGTACTGGGAAGATGGAGGTAACTGGGAAGGTTTAGGTACTGGGAAGAGGGAGGTACTGGAAAGGGAGGTACAGGAAGAGGGAGGTACTGGGGAAGAGGGGGAGGGTACTGGGAAGAGGGAGGTACTGGAAGTGGAGGTACTGGGAAGGGGAGGTACTGGGATTATGGAGGTACTTGAAAGATGGAGTACTGGGAAGATGGAGGTACTGGGAAAGAGGGAGTATTACTGGGGAAGAGGGATACGGAAGATGGAGGTACTGGGAAAGGAGGTACTGGAAGAGGGCAGAACTGGTAAAAGGGAGGTACTGGAAGAGGGAGGTACTGGGAAGAGGGAGGTACTGGTAAGAGGGAGGTACTAAGAGGAGGGAGGTACTGGGAAGATGGAGGTACTGGGAGGAGGGAGTACTTGGAAGAAGGGAGTACTGGGAAAGAGGATGTACTGGGAAGATGGAGTACTGGGAAGAGGGAGTACGGAAGCGGAAAGGTCTGGGAAGAGGGAGGTACTGGGAAGGAGGAGGTACTGGTAGAGGGAGGTACTGGGAAGAGGGAGGTACTGGAAGATGGAGGAACAGGGAGAAGGGAGGTAATGGAAGAGGCAGTACTGGTAAGAGGGAGGTACTGGGAAGAGGGAGGTACTGGGAAGAGGGAGGTACTGGTAAGAGGGAGGTACTAAGAGGAGGGAGGTACTGGGAAGATGGAGGTACTGGGAGGAGGGAGGTACTTGGAAGATGGAGGTACTGGGAAGAGGGAGGTACTGGGAAGATGGAGGTACTGGGAAGAGGGAGGTACTGGGAAGATGGAGGTACTGGGAAGAGGGAGGTACTGGGAAGAGGGAAGTACTGCGGGAAATGGAGTTACTGGGAAGATGAGGTACTGGGAAGATGGAGGTACTGGGAAGAGGGAGGTACTGGGAAGAGGGAGGTACTGGGAAGAGGGAGGTACTGGGAAGAGGGAGGTACTGGGAAGAGGGAGGTACTGGGAAAGGGAGGCCTGGGAAGATGAGGTAACTGGGAAGAGGGAGGTACTGTGTAAGAGGGAGGTTAGGGAAGAGGTAGGTACATGGAAGAGGGAGGTACTGAGAAGATGGAGGTACTGGAAGAAGGAGGTACTGGGAAGAGGGAGGTATTGGGAAGAGGGAGGTACTGGGAAGAGGGGAGGTCGGGGAAGAGGGAGGTCCTGGAAGAGGAGTACTGGGAAGATGGAGGTATTGGGAAGAGGGAGGTAACTGGGGAAGAGGAAGGTACATGGAAAAAGGGAGTACATGGGAAGAAGGAGGTACTGGAAGAGGGAGGGGGTACTGGGTAAGAGGGAGTACTGGGAAGAGGGAGGTACTGGAAATGGAGGTACTGGAGATGAGTAACTGGGAAGGAGGGAGGTACTGGAAGAGGGGGGTACTGGGAAGATGGAGGGGAACTGGGAGAGGGAGGTACGAAAGATGAGGTACTGAAGAGGGAGGTAACTGGGAAGATGGAGGTACTGGGAAGATGGAGGTACTGGGAAGATGGAGGTACTGGGAAGAGGGAGGTACTGGGAAGATGGAGGTACTGGGAAGATGGAGGTACTGGGAAGATGGAGGTACTGGAAGAATGAGGTTACTGTAAGATGGAAGGTACTGGGAAGATGGAGGTACTGGGAAGAGGGAGGTACTGGGAAGAGGGAGGTACTGGGAAGAGGGAGGTACTGGGAAGAGGGAGGTACTGGGAAGAGGGAGGTACTGGTAAGAGGGAGGTACTGGAAGAGGAGTGTACTGGAATAGGGAGTACAGGGAAGAGGAGGTACTGGGAAGAGGGAGGTACTGGGAAGAGGGAGGTACTGGTAAGAGGGAGGTACTGGGAAGAGGGAGGTACTGGTAAGAGGGAGGTACTGGGAAGAGGGAGGTACTGTAAATGGAGGTTACTGGGGAAGAAGGAGGTACTGGAAATGGAGGTACTGGGAAGAGGGAGTACTGGGAAGAGGGAGGTTACAGGGAAGAGGGAGGTACATGGGAAAGGGAGTACAGGAAGAAGGAGGTACTGGGAAGAGGGAGGTACTGGGAAGGGGGAGGTACTGGGAAGAGGGAGGTACTGGGAAGAGGGAGGTACTGGGAAGAGGGAGGTACTGGGAAGAAGGAGGTTACTGGGAAGATGGAGGTACTGGATGATGGAGGTAACTTGAAAGAGGAGGTACTCAGGGAAGATGGAGGTACTGGAAGAGGGAGGTACTGGGGAAAGGGAGTACTGGAAGATGGAGGTACTTGGAAGAGTGGAGGTAACTGGAAGAGGGAGGTACTGGGGAAATGGAGGTACTGGGAAGTAGGGAGGTACTGGAAGAGGGAGGTACTGGGAAGAGGGAGGTACTGGAAATGGAGGTACAGAGGACGAGGGAGGTACTGGAAGAGGGAGGTGTACGGAAGATGGAGGTTACTCGGAAGAAGGAGGTACTGGGAAAGGGAGGTACTGGGAAGAATGGAGGTACAAGGGAAGAGGAGTACTGGAAGAGGGAGGTACTGGGAAGTGGAGGTACTGGGAAGAGGGAGTTACTGGAAGATGGCGGTACTGGAAGAGGGAGATACTGGGAAGAGGGAGTTACTGGGAAGGTGGAGTACTGGGGAAGTTAGGGAGTAACTGGGCAGATGGAGGTTACTGGGAAGAGGGAGTACTGGGAAGACGGAGGTACTGGGAAGAGGGAGTACAGGGAAGAGGGAGGTACTGGGAGAGAGGGAGGTACTGGGAAAGGAGGTACTTAAATATGAGGTTACTGGAAGTAGGGAGGTACTGGGAAAGGAGGTATGGGAAAGGGAGGTACAGTGAAGAAGGAGGTACTGAGAAGATGGTAGGTACTGAAGAAGGAGTACTGGGAAGAGGGAGGTATTGGGAAGAGGGAGGTACTGAAAGGAGGTACGTGGGAAGAGGGAGGGTCCTGGGAATAGGGAGGAACTGGGAAGATGGAGATATTGGGAAGAGGGAGGTACTTGGGAAGAGGGGTACGGGAAGTAGGAGGTAGGAAGAAGGGAGGTACTGGGTAAAGAGGGAGGTACTGGGAAGAGGGAGGTACTGGGAAGAGGGAGGTACTGGGAAGAGGGAGGTACTGGGAAGATGGAGGTACTGGGAAGATGGAGGTACTGGGAAGAGGGAGGTACTGGGAAGAGGAGGTAACTTGGAAGATGGAGGTTACTGGGAAGATGGGGAGGTACTGGAAGGAGGGAGGTACTGGAAGGAGATAGTACTGGGAAAGAGGGAGGTACAGGGAAGAGGGAGGAACTGGGAAGATGGAGGAACTCGGGAAGAGGAGGTAACTGGTAAGAGGTAAGGTAACTGGTAAGATGGGAGTACGTAAGAAGGATGTACTGGGAAGAGGGAGGTACTGGAAAGGAGGTACTGGTAAGAGGAGTAATGGGAAGAGGAGGTACTGTAAGAGGGAGGTTACTGGGAAAGAAGGGGTACTGGGAAGAGGAGGTACTTGGTAAGAGGTAGATCTGGAAGAGGAGTACTGGTAAGAGGGAGGTACTGGAAAGGGAAGGTACGGGAAGATGGAAGGTACTGGGAAGAGGGAGGTACTGGAAGATGGAGGTACTGGGAAGGGGATGGTACTGGAAGATGGAGGACTGGGAAGAAAGGGAGGTACTGGTAAGAGGGAGGTACTGGTAAGAGGGAGGTACTGGGAAGAGGGAGGTACTGGGAAGAGGGAGGTACTGGGAAGAGGGAGGTACTGGGAAGAGGGAGGTACTGGTAAGATGAGGTAACTCTGGGGAAAGGAGGAGGAACGGGAAGATGGAGGTAACTGGGAAAGGGAGGTACTGGAAGAGGGAGGTACTGGGTAAGTTGGAGAGACTGGGAATAGGAGGTACTTGGAAAGATGGAGGTACTGGGAAGAAGGGAGGTACTGTAAGATGGAGGTACTGGGAATCATGGAGTACTGGAACAGAGGAGGTACAGGTACGAGGGAGGTACTGGTAAAAAGGAGGTACTGGGAATAGGGAGTAACTGGGAAGAGGGAGGTACGGAAGAGGAGGTATTGGAAGAGGGAGGTACTGGTAAGATGAGGTACTGCGGAAGAGGGTAGTAACTGGGAAGAGGGAGTACTGGGAAAGGGAGGGTATGGAAGAGGGAGGTACTGGTAGATGTATGTAACTGGGAAAGGAGGTACTGGAAGATGAGGTAACTGGGAAGAGGGAGGTACTGGAAGAAAGCGGTACTCTGAAGATGGAGTACTGGGAAGAGGAGGTACTGGGAAAGAGGAGGTACTGGAAAGAGGGAGGTACTGGGAAGATGGAGGTATTGGGAGATGAGGTACTGGTAAAATGGAGGTACTGGTAAGATGGAGGTACTGGGAAGATGGAGGTACTGGGAAGAGGGAGGTACTGGGAAGAGGGAGGTACTGGTAAGAGGGAGGTACTGGGAAGAGGGAGGTACTGGAAGAACATGGAGGTACCTGGGAAAGAATGGAGTACTGGGAAGAGGGAGGTACTGGGAAGAGGGAGGTACTGGGAAGATGGAGGTACTGGGAAGAGGGAGGTACTGGGAAGATGGAGGTACTGGGAAGATGGAGGTACTGGGAAGATGGAGGTACTGGGAAGATGGAGGTACTGGGAAGATGGAGGTACTGGGAAGATGGAGGTACTGGGAAGATGGAGGTACTGGGAAGATGGAGGTACTGGGAAGAGGGAGGTACTGGGAAGATGGAGGTACTGGGAAGAGGGAGGTACTGGGAAGATGGAGGTACTGGGAAGATGGAGGTACTGGAAGATGGAGGTACTGGGAAGATGGAGGTACTGGTAAGAGAGGAGGTACTCGGGGGTAGATGAGGTACTGGGAAGATGTAGAGTACTAGGGAAGATGGAGTACTCGGGGAAGATGGAGGTACTGGAAGATGATGGTAGGTACTGGGAAGATGGAGGTACTGGGAAGAGGGAGGTACTGGGAAGATGGAGGTACTGGGAAGATGGAGGGAATATTGTGAGGAAGTGGCTGTATGATTTTTTTTTCCTTTACAAGGAGAGACTTTTATATCTTTGAAAAGTTCTCAGCAATTTTTATATTTCTCTAGAATTTTCATTGATTGCTCGAAAATGCCTTAACCAATCGGTTTCAAATTTGCAACGCTCGTATACTGTGTTTAGGGCAAGATTCATGAAACTATTAGCATTTGTGGCTGCCCAGTGGACAATGTTACACAGGTCATTCCCCGAGATTTTGTGCCGTTGTGATGTGACCTGTGGAGAGAGTCTCCTCTGGAGTATCCTGCTTACAACTTTCTATATTTCATGGAGTGTGTAGATACCATTTTAATCTCGAAATATTATAGTATTATTATGCTTGATTGCATTTTTTTGCCTTGATGCTGGTGAGCTGTTGATCCACGGAACTGGAGTTTTCTTTCCCTTGCTTGGCTTGAACCTGAGTGCCTCTCATACCACAGATACCATATGGCCCATACGGGTTTAGTGTGCTCCCTCTGATAAAAAAAAATAAAATCAGACAAATGTTTATGGGTGTGTCCCAGATACACCAGTGGGAAGAAATTACATCTATATTAAGAGACAAGAACAACAGTGCACCAGAGGGTGCTGGTGTTGTCCTGGAGGACAGTGCACCAGAGGGTGCTGGTGTTGTCCTGGAGGACTGCACCAGAGGGTGTTGGTGTTGTCCTGGAGGACAGTGCACCAGAGGGTGCTGGTGTTGTCCTGGAGGACAGTGCACCAGAGGGTGCTGGTGTTGTCCTGGAGGACAGTGCACCAGAGGGTGTTGTTGTTGTCCTGGAGGACAGTGCACCAGAGGGTGCTGGTGTTGTCCTGGAGGACAGTGCAGCAGAGGGTGCTGGTGTTGTCCTGGAGGACAATGCACCAGAGGGTGCTGGTGTTGTCGTGGAGGACAGTGCACCAGAGGGTGCTGGTGTTGTCGTGGAGGACAGTGCACCAGAAGGTGCTGGTGTTGTCCTGGAGGACAGTGCACCAGAGGGTGCTGGTGTTGTCCTGGAGGACTGCACCAGAGGGTGTTGGTGTTGTCCTGGAGGACAGTGCACCAGAGGGTGTTGGTGTTGTCCTGGAGGACAGTGCACCAGAGGGTGCTGGTGTTGTCCTGGAGGACAGTGCACCAGAGGGTGCTGGTGTTGTCGTGGAGGACAGTGCACCAGAAGGTGCTGGTGTTGTCCTGGAGGACAGTGCACCAGAGGGTGCTGGTGTTGTCCTGGAGGACAGTGCACCAGAGGGTGCTGGTGTTGTCCTGGAGGACAGTGCACCAGAGGGTGCTGGTGTTGTCCTGGAGGACAGTGCACCAGAAGGTGCTGGTGTTGTCCTGGAGGACAGTGCACCAGATTGGGATGGTGTTGTCCTGGTGATGAAACAAGTAAAGACAACGTTATACGATATCCGGAGGTACAAAATAGCAATACTGCTGGAAATGGAACAAAAAGGAATGATGTCTCGGGAATATTGTTGACACATTACCAGTAAAAACTGGTGGAAGCACTGATGTCTGTACAGGGGCTGTAGGTAGTGAGGAAGCAGAAAAAATGCACCAGTAGGGAACACAGCCACAAAAAATCCTGGCATACAAAAATCTAATCTATGCAAATTCTATGCCTTGGGTATCTGCAGACATGATATATCTGGAAAAACAGGTAGGACATGCACTTCTGACCATCCCAAAAAATGCCGCACCCACATGATAACAGGAGGGTTCAACTCTTTTTCTTCTGGCCTGTTTCACCCCGAAATATGTCACTCATCAGTCCATGAGTCAGGCACACCATCTAAAGGGGACAAGAAGATATAGATCACCCAGACCATGGGGGGAAAAAAGAGGGGAGCCAAAACCTCTTCAGAAAAGGAGGTTTTTTAGTGCCAGGAAGAAAAAAAAAAACTGGCAAGAAATGACAGAAATCCTACACCAACTGAAAACACTTCTGGAGTAGAGGGGCAGTCACTGGCCTCCAATCCAGAACAACAGATATTTATGTAAGTAAATAAAAGATCCCCTAAATTCTATCAATATAACGACATTTATCTTTGCAAACATACAGAGTCTAAAGCCATCAGAAAAACAACAAAATACCTTACGTGAAGGGACTGCTCACGAATTCAAATGCAATGTTTGCAGCTTTCACAGAGCCCCACATAAAGGATTATTTTGATAAAGAAATGTGGATCCCAGGTTATAACCCATTCAGATGCGGCACACTAAACAGGCAACAAGAGGGAGGAGGGGGGGGGGGTTGCATGTACGTCACAAAGTCTTTCATTTGTTCAGAATTACTAAACACCTCAAATGATGTAGTTGAAGTTTTAGCAGTAAAAATCGACAACCAAAACCCTGTCACTGGTTGTATACAAACCGACGGAAGCAACTTTCCAGCAATTCCAAGAACAACTTTTCAAAATTTACCACTGTCTGGAAAATCTCCCAACACCTGCCCCAAATATCTTGCTACTGGGGGATTTCAACCTGAGACACCTAAAATGGAGGAGTAGAGCAAACAATGTTTAAGCAGACATCACCCCAGGAGGCAGCTCAGATGAAAATTCACACACACACGAGCTATTAAATCTCTGCACCAAATTCACCCTAAACCAGTAAATATTAGAGCCTACAAGACTAGAAAATACGCTGGACCTCATCTTCAACAACGACGATCTGATACGTAATATAACCATATCAAAGACCATACACTCAGATCACAACATAACAGAGGTATAGTCATGTATGCACAGGGCTCCTGACCAACAAAATGTTATCAGTTATGAGGGTGTCTTCACAAAATTTAACTTCAATAACAAAAACATACACTGGGAACAAGTCAACCATGTGCTAAATGAAACAAGCTGGGAAGATATCCTAATCAACATGGATCCAAACCTTAACCTAGAAAAAATTAATTCTGGGGCACTTGAGGTCTGCTCAAGGCATATCCCATTATGAAAAAGAGAGAGATGTAAACTTGAAAGAGAGAGATGCTCCCTACACAGGTGAAGGCGAAGAATCATAGAACTGCTGAGAGGGGCCAGTATATCTGAAATACGAAGGGAGGCACTGGTCAGAGAAATAGCAAATATCACACTTAAGCTTAAGGAATCTTACAGGAGACAAGAATCTCAGGAAGAACTTAAAGCTATCAATGAAATTGAAAGAAACCCGAAATACTTCTTCTCTTATGCCAAATCTAAGACGAAAACAACATCCAGTATTGGACCCCTGCTTAGATGGGACCTACACGGATGACAGAAAAGAAATGAGTGAGATACTAAAGTTCCAATACGACTCAGTGTTGAGTGAGCCTTTAACCAAACTCAGGGTCGGCAATCTAAATGTCTGAGACTCTAAATCCGGTCACTTCAAAAATCTCTGATATTATCTTACCACCACAAAGCTCCGAAAAGGCAATTAATGACATGCTCATGCACTCTGCCCCAGGCCTGGATTAGTGGAACTCCGTGTTCATCAAGAACTGCAATAATCCCCTGTCACGTGCCTTCAGCATTCTATGGAGAGGGAGCATGGATACAGAAGCCATTCCACAATCACTAATAACAACAGACATAGCCCCATGCCACAAAGGTGGCAGTAAAGCAATTGCCAAGAAATACAGACCGATAGCACTAGCATCCCATATAAAAATCTTTGAAGTGGTTCTAAGAAGTAAGATCGCCAACCGCCTACATACCCATCAATTACACAACCCAGGGCAACGCAAGTTTAGGGCAGGTCGCTCCTGTGCCCGTGGCCTGGTGGTTAAAGCTCTTGCTTCACATGGTGAGTGTCCGGGTTCGATTCCCGGGAAAGGGGTGGAAACATCGGACGTGTTTTCTTACACGGTTGTGTATGTTCACTCATCAGTAAAATGGGTACCTGGGTGTTAGTCGACTGGTGTGGGTCGCATTCTGTGACAAAACTGACCTAATTTGCCCAAAATACTCTGTATAACAAGGGGCTTCCTATATAGTAGTATGTCATTGATGTCAGGTAGGCCTGTATACTTTGCACATGTACTTGTAGTAAATAAAGATATTACTATACCATTATTAGCTACTGGACCACTATGACAAGTTCCTGGATGCTTTAGAGGAAAAGCAAAATGCTGATGTTGCATACACAGTATTTGCGAAAGCCTTCGACAAGTACGACTATGGTGCAATAGCACACAAAATGCGTGTCAAAAGAATAACAGGAAAAGTTGGTAGATGGATCTATAACTTCCTAACACATAGAACACAAAATGTATTAGTAAACAGAGTAAAGTCTGATGTGGTTATTGCGAAAAACTGTTCGACAAGGCGCAGAACTTGCTTTCATCCTGTTCCTCATCCTCATGTTTGACATAGACGCCCCTCAAGGAAGGTTCCTTGATGCTTATGAGGGGCTCTTGATCTAGGGAATTGGATCTGTTCTCCAGTTCCCTGAATTAAACCTTTCACATCCCCCCTCAGGCGCTGTATAATCTTACGGGTTTAGTGCTTCCCCCTTGATTATAATAATAATAATTGACATAGACAGAGATGTAAGCCATAGTTCCGTGTCTTCCTTTGTGGATGACACTCGAATTACCATGACAGTGACCTCCATGGAAGACACCATAAGATTCCAAATCTTCAAATGGGCCATTCAAACAATATGAAGTTCAATGAAGAGAAATTTCAACTACTCAGATATGAAAATTTTGAGGAAATTAAAACTGTGTCAGGATATTTAACTAATTTTAACGAGACATTAGAGCGAAAAACTAATGTGAAGGACCTTAGAGTGATAATGTCAAAGGATCTCGCCTTCAAAGACCACAACAATGTATCTACCTCATATGCTAGAAAAATGATAGGCTGGAATATTGCTGTACACTAACGGCCCCTTTCAAAGGCAAGCAAAATTGCTGACCCTGGAGAATGTACAGAGAACTTTTATGGCACACATAAGTACGTATGAGAATGGTTGAAGTCCCTTGATTTGTATTCTCTAGAATGCAGGAGAGAAAGCTACATGATAATATACACTTGGAAAATCCTAGAGGGATTAGTACCAAACTTGCACACGAAAATCGCTCCCTATGAAAGCAGAATACTCGGCAGGAGATGCAACATTCTCCCAATGAAAGGGGCCGAAGACTGCTCAACTGCCTCCAAGCATGCATAAGGGGGATTACCAATAGACTCCTGGCTTCAAGAAGGTGCTGGACAGGCACCTAAATTCAGTATCTGATCAGCCGGGCTGTGGTTCTTACATTGGTTTACATGTGCCCAGCAGTAACAGCCTGGTTGATCAAACCATGATCCACCATGAGGCCTGGTCTCAGACCGGGCTGCAGGGGCATTGATTCCCGAAACCCTCTCCAGGTATACTCCAAGTATTATTATTACTGTGTGTACCTTTCTTCTCAGAGCTGACTGTAGCCTTGTAAAGTGGTTGATTAAAATTATGAAAATAATAATCGAGGAACATTACACCAGGCCTAAGGGCCCATTCTCTCGC